TTCAGTTGCTTTCTTTTCGGGGGGAGGGGGTTCCCCCATTCGGATAGACTGGTGTTTCATGGTATCTGATTTAATGGGATAGATCCGGATATAATGTTCTAATGTATACTTATACAAGTGATAATATGGATAGATCAGGGAATACATACGAAAGGTCTGGCAACCTCAGCCTTGTGGGTTCAATGCCAAAGAGAATGTATTACTGTATGTTCAATTAATTATTAACGGGTGTTGTATTTACACACACTAGCAGCCAAGGCTGGTAGCAAAATGGACCACATGGAGGGGAAAGCGTTAACAGATGCATATGCTTGGAATATTTTCTGTACGAAAGTCACTCGCAAGGCAACTATTTCACTGTTGGAGAAATGGGGGAACGAAAGTAGAGAGTGCTAAGATAACGAGCGAGAGGTCAAGTCCATTATAAACATTTGGAAGCCAAAGAATTGTACAAAAGATTGCCGCAGACTCATACAGATGGTATTGGTATCAGGGGGGGAAAGACAGAGACCAAAATTGAAAAAAAAGGTGTGGAAATTCAAAGAAAAAAAAGATCGTAATCCCACTGCCATTAGAAACAAGAGAAGCTTAACCGCAAAAACACACAATGCAAAAGATCAAAAGAGAGCAAGCTAGTATGCAGCATAATGTCACATGTAATAATACTGGTCTGGATTGAAGTGCTAATCAGCTATCAATCCAGAGTGAAAGCTAGGGGGAAAATATAAACAATCTAAGACGTTATTTGCGGTCCAAATGGACCATCTCCGGTCTCTTTAGGTGACGCCGAGACGAGACCATCAACCGTGCTTTCGTTTTCTTCTGCCCAAGAACCCTCTCCATAGTCGGTAGGCTCGGCATCATGGTCATAGCTTGACCTTCGCAGCAGAGGGGGGGTCCTTGGTGGTTCTTGCATTCTGCTCGCGCGTGCTGAGGTTTGTCTCGGAGTAGTATCAATGCTTCTGAGGGCGCGACTCTCTGATGGTCGTCTCCAGCCTCCTGTAGCGGGAGCAGTCGCGTTTGCAGTGGCTTGTCGGGCGTTAGAACCAGGAGGTGTCAGAAGTCCGGACAGGAAAGCAGTTGCATTACTCGGCTTGGACGGTGTTTGTTCAGAGGCGCCGGGGTTCGGGGCTTCTCTACCCCTGCGCCAGTTGCCCCATGCGGCAGCGGCAGCGAGAGGTAAAGAGCGTGGTGATGCAGTTAACTCAGAAAGTGAAGGAAAACTGGGGAAACTCTGTCCCGACAGAGCCCTCTCCTTTTCTTGCTGCTGCATTTGCAGATTTGCTTTCAAACGGATGGCAGCATCACGTACAGTGTTGTGATCAAACGATGGTTGCGACAAAGTCCTGATGATATCCTGTAGATCGTCGATACGGACTCCAAGAAGCTCACGCAGCCAGGTGATTTCTGTATCTTTCTCTTTGATCTTGTTCGGTGCATCCTTGTCGAAAGAAGCAACCTCTTGCTCTAGTTCCTCGATGCGGGTCTCGCGCTGCTGCAGTTGGTCCTGTAGGACGAGAATCGACTCACGTAAGGCCTGAGGAGAGATCTTCTCAGGGACCATAGTTCCCTGGCTGAATGACAACGATGGGGATGTAGAGTGTGCGGAAGACGACGCCATAGGAACTGCCTTGGCTGCCTGAGCGGCTTCAGCGGCGGCACGAGCAGCGGACTGAGCGATTTCGAGCCTCTCTTCCAGATGATTGACACGATCCTGAAGGTGCTTAGCCTTATCTTCCGACAATTCCAAGCGTTCCGTCAAGTGAGATTCTGCTCGCTGTCTATCCTCCGATGCATTGTGCAAGGCGCGGGCATGGCGCTCGCGAAGATCATTGAGGACGCGCTCATGCAGCTTGCGCTGCTCTTCCATAGCAAGGTCGTGAGTGTTAGCCATGGAGGCCATAGCACTGGCCTTCGTCTCACTGGCTTCCTCCAGCAGCATCTCATAGCGTTGTTGTGCGGTATCACTATCGAGCCGGACACTATCCAGTTGACCCTGGAGACGCAGGATTTGTGCTTCCAACTCCGCACGGACAATGTTGACCTGGCTATTAGCAGCCTCGACATCCGTCTCCAATGAAGATCTGGTACGCTGGATTTCCACCCTACTGCTCTCCCGTGCCTCGTTAAACTCGCGCTCAAAACGAGCTGCCTTTATCTCTAAGTCGTGGTTCTCAATTCTGAGGTTCGCCACTAGCTCTTCCAACCTGGCATTCTCTTGCTGAGACTGACCAAAGATAAACTTCAGCTTCACCGCTTCTCGCTCCTGCTGTTCGAGCTCGCTGATATCAACCTCAAGCTTCTCGCGGAGTTTCACTTCACGGTTGTAAGCAGCCTGGAGTTCGTTATACTTGGCTACATGCTCTTCTTGCCGTCTGCGCCAGGAGGCTTGGTCGCGGGTAATATCCCGAGTCACAGTCGCCATCTCGTCCTGGAGGCGGTCGAACCTTTCGCTTAGATTTTGTCGTACACTCAATCCATCCTCAATCCGCGACTTCATATGATCGATGGTGACACGTAGATCCTTATTTTCAATTTTCATTTCATCAATCTGGGCCTTGGACCGCTCACTCTCCTGCTTCCAGTGATCACTAGAGAATCGGTATTCGTCCAAGGTACCTTCGAGGGAGATGTTCTTCGAGGAAATTTCGGCTAGAGTTAACTTGAGTTTGGCATGTTCTTGCTCAAGTGCTTCAGACCTTGACTGGACCTGTTCGAAATAAGGAATCTTTTCTTCCTTGAAGTGGAGCAGGCGAGTCTCAGCAGATTCAGCAGCCTCGCTATGACGAGCAGCATTGTCCTCAGAAACTTTGAGAAGGTGCTGAAGTTCTATAACAGAGTCCTGGGCTTCTCTACGCTTCTTGTATTCCTCCTCAGCACGCTCATCGCTTACTCTTAGCATTTCTTTCAGGCCATCGATCTGAAGCATGAGGCTATCGGCGCCGATCTCCTCGGCTTCGGAGGCGCGAGGCTTCTGCTGGCTAAACTGGGCCGAGACAACCTCTTCAATCATTTCTCTCAAGTCGGTCGTAGAGTCTTGAGAGTGCTTCTTCAGTGTTAAAGCCTGTAGGTCTGTTACACTTTGGTGAAGTTGCGCGATTTCGGAATTGATAGAGTTTTCTGTTTGATGCTGAGCATCACGGCTCGCTAACGCTTCGAGAATCACATTCTTTAACTTGTCGAGTTTGCGACCCTCTGACGAACGGGGGACCTATCTCTGTAGGACGCATGCTCCTCATATTCTTCTTCGTCGTCGGCATCACTTTCCTCGCCCTCGACAGAGGCACTCCAGGACCATTTGTTTTGAGATCCTCCGAGGCCATAGTGGAGATGGAGTTCTCAATAGCTATCAATGCACGCTCAAGAGGAGAGAGGCGCTCCTCAACAACGGAGCCGACAAGCTCATGAATGCGGCGATCGAAAAATCTGCTCCGGTTTGCCAGCTTCTCATCTTCGCCCGATGAAATAACATCGTCCCAGTCACTGATGTGATCGTTTCGACTAACCAACTGTCGGATGGGCGAGTGGATAACGGAGGCGAAGTTCTTCGAGGGGGTCGCTGAGAACTGGGACTGGGCATCGAAATCAAGTTTGGGCACATTCAATGCTTGGGATATATGACCCCTTCCTGGACTGGGGCTAGGGGCTTCACTCCTGATCTCTGCGTGGACATGTCGTTTTTCTTTTGACGGCGCTACAACAGATTCAGGGAATCGGTTTGTAGGATGAGGTGTGCTTAATCTCTCAATTCCTACATCCGAATCTTCATTCAGCTGTTCCATAACAGCGTTAAGTTCCTCATCATCCATGGACTCCTCCTCTTCAGACTGACGTCCTACGTCTTGTTCAAATTGGGGAGCGCCAGTTCTCAGCTCATCATCCAATGGGCCTGTTTCTGGTTGCGTCGACTCGACTAGCGCTGCAGCTGGTGAGCTTGCGACAGCATGCTGTGAAGCCATGATGTCGCCCTTCTCGACATCGTCTTCAGGAGCTGTTTTTGGCTCTTCAGCAACAACGGGGACAAACTCAGGCACGAATGGTTTGAATTCAAATGGCTTTGCATCTGGCGAAAGCACTGAACCATTCAAGCGAGTATCGGTAGATCCTGCATGGATTGCTCTTTCTCTTTGGGGCCAATAGAAGGGGTAGCTGCCTCAACTGCTAGTGATGGCTTCAAGTCAGCATTCTCGTCACCAGCTACTTCTGGCTCGGGCTGTGTGGTCGCTGTCTGGTTCTGTCCTAATGCTTCTGCACGTGTGTCTGCACTCTCATCTTTCGTATCAGAAGGCATCCAGGTTGATGCTTCACTAACAGGTGTGTCTTTCCGCTCCTGTGCTTTGCGGTCCTGGACTGGAACGTCTTCCCTTTCCACTGAATTGACATCACCCTTATCAGGCGAAGTATTCTCTTTGCCTCCAGCGGACACATGCGTTGTATTGGGTAATTGGGTTACTTGAGCATTGATGTTTTCTGACAGAGCATGAGACACGCTAATCTGAGCTTCTCCATCAGGGCCTTCAAGACTACGGCGGGCACGTTTGTGGCGATCTGTAGGAGCAGCGGGCCGGTCATTTTCATTCTCTGCCTCCTCTTCCTTGTATTGGTTAGTTTCGTTGTCATCTGGGCGTACAATGGGAATAGCTTTCGACTTTTTAGCAAGCTTCTGTGCTTGGGACAAGTCGACATCATCAAAGATCTTAGTTTTGCCGCCTGAAGACTGTCCAGGGTCTGTCGAGTAATGGTTATTGGTTGGGTTGAAAACCGGGGCAGCGACATTGAAAGAGCCTGGCGTGAATGAAGGAGCGGTCACATTGAAAGAGTCTGCCGGCTGCTTGAAGCCCGCACCAGAGCCAAAGGCAAACATAGGATTGCTCGCCGCTGGGAATTGGAAGGAATTATCCTGGTATGGGAAGGCCTGCGAGGAAGTTGGCACCGTCGGGTCAAATTCCTTCGCATCAACATTTAAAGTAGAAGACGAAAGCTTTGAGCGGTGTCCGCCGCCGTATGACCCAGCGCTGGGATTTGGTTCATGCCAAGGTATATGACTTGCAAGCGGTCCATGAGGTGTGCCAGAAAGACTGGGGTTAGTATCGATATCTGAGCCTTCCTGTGCATTATCTCCTGGGTATACTCCGCCGTAATATTGATGTACATGTTGAGGCAAATGTTGGATATCGTGGTTGGTATTCTCTGGCAAAGCCCACCGAGACTTCAATATATCCGAACCATTGAAACCGTGGGGTTCGCGGTCACCTTCATCCAATTGTCTGTTTATCGACTCTTCCAAGTGGTATTCAGACTGTGCATATTGGTCAAGGCCTTTCTGAAGTGTCTCGCTTAGGTTGTGGCCACGACTATGGCCACGAGGTGTGGGCTGGGCGATCTCAACTGTCGAAGCATGGAAGTTATCCGGGTTTTCGGTAGGGGTGCGTATAGGGCGCAATAGCTGGCCTTCCGCCATGTTATCTTGCATGTCATAACCCATATGATCGCCAAAAGCTTCTTTCGGTAGTCCAGGCTGCTCGTTCAGGCCGGGGTGGAACACATTCTGTTCATTCAACGGAGAGACCGGTGATAATATAGAGGTCAAGTTTGGCAGTGTGCCAGCAAGGGTAGACACCGCGCCTGCTTGGCGTGCATTGAAGAAACTCTGGGGGGTCAAAGAACCCTGGGCTGGAGGTGTAGGTTGGAAAGGAATATGATACCCAGGAAGCAGGTTCTGATCAACCCCCAGAAAGGGTGTTTGTACACCAAACTGCGAAGCAGGAGAAGTCAAAGAGCCCATACCATTGCGGGCATTCGTGGATTGACTCAACTGGGGAGAGAACGGGTGAGACAGCGACAATGGGTTACTAGCCGCAGACGCTGTGGGGATTGGTGGTGAGGAAACAAGACCAGGGAACGGTGCCATCTGGCTCATGGCGGCCGATGCAGGTGAAACTGACGGTTGTACTTCATCATCACCCAAAAATACACCCAGAGCTCGTAACTTCTCTTCCTGGAGGAAGTTTACATATGCATCCCATACAGCTTTATTGGGAAAACAAACGGTATAGCTCCGGGAGTTCCATTCTTCCTGGACTTCAGTAGCATCGGGCCAGGTGGGACGACTAAGACCGCCCAATTCTGTATTCAAATAATCCTCTGATGCGCCGACACTAAATCCGCGCACATCATAGCCTTTCTCTTCCCATGACTTTAGGCGCCTGTTGACATCTTCGACAGTCAACAACTGGTACCCAGACTCCTCGCTGCCTCGCTTGTCTTCCGGTGGAAGCCCGACGAAGCATGCTTTTCCGCGCCAAGCAATCTTTTTTCTGATTCGTTGTGCAGGCTTGTCTGAAACTGACGTCTTCACAGCTTTCGGTTCCGCTGTTGTCGTGTTCTCCAAAGTCAAAAGGCTTTCGTTCGATGCATCTGCAGGGGGAGGCGGAAGCGGCTTTTCAACCGAAGGCAGCGCCTTGGTCCCCGGTTCAGTGGGGAGCTGTGCCTCTGTTGTGTCCGTCATAGTGATGGGTTGGGGATCTTTATCGTATGCAAAGCCCCAGAAGTCTTCCTGTCGCAGTGTCTCTGCTCTCCTGTGCAAATATTCTTTAGTCCTCTGACGAGCGACGCTACCTTCTCCGTTACCAGTTCCCGCTCTTCGGTTCACAAAGTCGGCCAACGTTGGAGTCCTGAGTAAGTCTTCTTCGCGCTTATCTTGTTCCAAACCAAGCCAGTCGTCAGAGAGATCGTCTGCAAAATGATTTTGAGCGGTAAAGAACGATGGGGCCTCGCTGCCAGAGTCGTCGCTCAGCCAGTTGCTGCGTTCGGTCCTTGGCTGGCCGGAAAGATATTGATTGATCCAATCTTGCGTGAAATCTTTGATAGACTTTCCTCCTCTTCTACCGAATATATCTCTTCCTGGAGAGCGGTTGCGGATACTGCCGTGTAGCTGGGTAGTCGGGTCTTCAGGGGCGGACGTTAAGACTAATTCGGGGTTATTCGTTTCGGACCCGTGGTAGATACCACTGCGCATCGAAGTCGGAGAGCTATCTCTAGAGCCTCGACCGTTACCAGCGTGCTGACTCAATGACCACGAGAGTCTCCGAGGGCTAGGTGCAGCATACGGGGAGCCCCAGGCAGTCGTATAGTAAACGCTGCTTTCAGCCTTCTTGTTCTCTGGAGACGAAGTGATTGAATCCCAAGCAGCCCGATACTTCGGCAAAGTGGGGAGGGTGGACGGCGGAATCGAGGTTATGCTGGTACCTCTAAGGGAGTTCCGTCGGCCAGGAGAACCAGTGGTCGAGAGACTCGACGCACCTGGCGATGTGAAAGATGATGTCAATGGAGCAGCCAAAAGGGAATCGTCACGCAGGTGGGAAGAATTGGTGTTGTACAACGGCGGAGAATGCGCCGAATTGGCGGAAGATACGGACGGGTCTAGATCTAGAAGCATTGAATTTGAGAATTTAGTTCCTGATGCAGTGCTATTGGGGACGAGGAAAAGGACGGCAAGAAAGCCGATTGAAACTGTCCATACGAAGGACTCTAAGAATGTAGCCACGGGACCACATGCACAAACACACACCTTCCGTGTCGACTGCCGCAGCAAGCACTTGCTTGCTGCTCTCCTTATCGCCCAGAATGTTGAAGCATGGAAATTAAACGACCGAGTCTGAATCCACCTCGCAGATTACCTCCGATCGGCACACGTAAGAGGGCAACGAGGGGAGTTGCAGGTTGACGCCGAACCGCGACAATGAGACGTGTTTTGGGGGTGTAGGGAAAGGATTCTCTTCAGGGGGTTGGAAAGAAGGAATGAATAACAGATCACAGGAACCAAGGGTATGCGAAAATATTCGACATGGCGCATACACGAAGGACTCAGCTGGATCGAAGTTGAACTATGAAAAGTATGAAATCGGAACTAAGGGGAGAAGGATGAAAGACGAGAGATGATTATCAGTTCTCTCTCTCTGTCTGTGTTTTGTTTTTTCTTGTTCTAATCTTTGGACTCAGACCATGACACGATCAGCCAAAAGAACTAAACTTCCCCGTTCAGACTTAAAGCGGCCGAGGAAGAATATCATAGGCGGAGGGACTTCAAAAAGCCGGGCCGTTGGGGAAAATCAAAGTATTTTACAGTCAGAATATACCGGAGGTCCAAGTGACTACTTTACTAGCCTTACTACTAGTAGTACTACTATTTAACTTGACCGCCATCTCTACAATACGGAGCACACGCCTGGTCTGTACCAACTGTGATACATACATCCGTACATACCTACGGAGTATGGACTCTGTACAGACATTCATGCATTCCTACAAACTCCAATCTGATGCACATACCAAGGATCGCTATGTGGCCAGCCTAATTTCTTACTCTCCCTGGAAAGATAGCCGATTATCTATGAACACGAACTAATGGGTGATCCGACTTATTCTGTGGAAACACGTATGGAGTCCAGATCTAATTATTGTTAGTTGCTTCACTATTGCTTACACTGTACAGATGTAGGTACTCCGTTGAGCTGCATCTTTTCTGGAACATACAGAGTCCACCGAGGCCGTCAGCAAAGGCAATAGGCCAGCCCCTGAGTGATGTTCGACCCCATAAACAAATAAACACATCTCTTTGGTTCGTGTCCTCCGCTCAGGGGTAGATTCCACCACCGCGAAAACCACGGTTCCCTCGGTCAAGCCAGTACCATACATACCATACCCATACACAGATACCTGCCTGGTATCACTAGAGGTTACAGTACCTGACATTTTTAGTTACGTAGTATTGATTGTGTAAGCATTCTCGTGTTACACGTGACCACACGGCCTTGGCGGTTCTAATAAGATATTACACTCATTGTTGATAGAGAATAGATCCACGATCAGGTTTCTCAGTACTCTAGGACTATCGTCACAGTTGAACTACTGCCAGATAATTGGCTTTTACATGTTTCATAGCAAATAATGCACCAATAGTAATGCACAAACATCCACAGATATACGCGCGACCATGTTTCTCGCCTGTTAAGCTAGGATTTGAATATATGATACAGGAGAATTTCAAGGAGAATTTCTAAGTAAACAACGGCTGCCGGGCACCCTGCCGATGCTAGAAAGAGTGACATATGCCTAGTTAGGGCAAGACAGGTCGAACTTGGCCTTACGGTCGGCAGTGAAGAGGCCCCAGTGGGTCTCGTCCTTCTCCTCGCCGTTGTCACCAATGCTCTTGGGCTTCCAGGATTCGTCGAAAGCCTCAAAGTAGAAAACATCGACACCCCAGGCAAGCATAGAGCAGACAGCCTCCTTCCAGTACCGTGCAGCATTCTGAGTGCCAGCCTTGGCAGCTGCATAGTCAGAACCGCCATCGGTGGGCCAACCAGTCTCGCCGTTTGCGAAGACAATCTTGTCCTTGTTGTTGCCAGCAGCCTTTTCAATACTGTCCAGAGCCAGAGTTGTGTCATTCCAATAAGTCTTGGTAGCGTGGTCGATATCCGATCCTTGCCAATAGGCGAAGGCATTGGCCATACTATGAGGTTGTTAGTTAGGGTGGCGAATATAAAGCGATACCAATTTAGATAACGTACATGTAAGTGACACCTCCCTCGATGATGGGATTGGCAGTACCATCATAGAAAAGGTTCCAGCTGTCTACCGTACCAACGGTCGTCTTGGGGAACGCACCCTGGACCGTACGAATCTTGTCCAGGAGTTCCTGGGCAGTAAGGCCTTTGCGGTAAAGAGTTTCAGAACCGACAGTGATGGAATGGACAACATCTTCATTTCCGGGAACAGTCTTCTTCAAGACATTCAAGTCATTGTTGAAGGATTCCTCATAATCAGCCCTACCGAAACAAGCGACGTTAATACCCCAAAGTTTCCAGCATCTATATGACGTGTAACCTACCAGACACCCAACACAACCTTGAACTGCTTGTTCTTGGCTGCGGGAACAATATTCACGGCGGTGTCGCAGTCATTGGCGGAGTATGTACGGACGAGGGTGGTTAGGCTCTTGAGCGCGTCAAAGTCGGCTTCATAGTCGCTAGTGGACTTGCAGGTGCCGTCAGGATTCTTGTTACCCAGGGAAACACCGAGGGTACCCCGCTTCGCGGCGGTAACAGCGGGAATCGCTGCGAGTACAAGAGAAAGAAGACCAGCGGCACGCATTTTCGGAGATGTCGTCGCTCGGTCAAAGAGAGTGGATAAGTTACGAGTAGAGAACGCGAAGGAGAAGGGGATAAATGCCTTCTGCCTATTTGTACTGTGAGAAAAGAGAGAAAGGAGGTACACACAAGTACACAAAAAAGGGAAAGAAAAGTAATTGGAATAAGACCAAAATAACAACAACAATATAGGGAAGGGGGTAGTGCCCGATAGGAAGGATTGACTGGGAATATATAAGAATAGAAGCTGTACGTCAAGAAAAGAAAGTGTGGAGTTGGATTGGGTAAGAATTGCCTCCTGAAGCACACCCGACAATTCCAGCAAATCTCCCGGAGGGAATGGAAGTGAGTGATCAAAGAGAACGGCGTCTTGGCCAATAATATAATTAGAAAAAGATTCGAGTTGGCCCACTCATGCCAGGGCCCACCCAAATCATCCAATCTCCAGTCGCATTGAAAGATTCGAGTCCTTCCAGACCCTTCGGGTCTCCACCAGCCGTCCCTGTTGTCGGCCAACGGTTCCCTGATTGCTCAGTGGCAGACGCGAAGTGACCCGGCGATCCCTATAAGCCAATGCTATTCTTGGGCTCTCGACTGAAACCTCCACTAAACTTGAGGAAGTTAAGACTTGGCCCACAGCGATTAGTGCAACTGCTACGGAGGATTGTCTTGGGGTCTGCAGGGTTTCAGGGTCTGGAATCAATCGCTATCAGTTTGCTGTACTCCGTACTCTGTAACATGATCTTATCATAGCCGACTCCGTTCAATACTGCCTTTACTAGGTACTCTGTACTACTGGTAATGGTCAAAATGCTCCTTACAGCATCAATTTGGGCGTCCCGAATCGGTACCGACCAATGCCCGAGTCTCACTCATGGCGTGGCGTTATCGAATGATTTTTCCATCGGGTCGGATGCGGATGCTTCATCCTGTTGTTCTCGGCCTTCACCGAATCCTATCGCTCTCACGAAACATGGGAAGGTCTTCTGGAAACCTCGGTCCAATTTTTGTGGCTACCGAATCATTTCTAACTGATACCCGTTGACAAACGTCATACTGTCACAAACAGACCCTTGAACGCGAATTCCTAATCCACCCGAACCTTTGGCATGGACGCTCCGGATAGAGTCAAAAACGCATCGAGAACCAGAAGGGCCGAAAAACAGAGGGGAAAATATTACGTCCACATTCTTATTCTGACATGTCCACCTAACCTACCCATTTAGGACAAGTACTCGAGCCATCAAGCATTCCATGTACCGACCACATGGTGTTGCCGGTTGCCGAAAACCCCGGTATGGGTCTTGAAAAAAAATCAACGTTGTTTTAGGTTCCCCATTGGCAATGGCATTCTCTGACTTCTGGATTGATCATCGATTTGGCCTCGTCTGGGGTAATACTGCGCCCGGTCCTCTCGTTGAAATGGGTGCTAACAGCCAACCATTTGTCTCTATCCCAATTGGCAGCAATTGTATGCAGAAGCAACACGTCCTCCAAATCAAAGTTTTCATCGGTGTAGAGCACATGTTTGACTTTTGATGGTTGAGAGGCAATCGGATGATCGTCAGCCTACCAGGATAACCTGTCAGAAACAGAGGGGAAACGAGTACCCCAAACTAAGCTCGTAGAGTGAATGTACTCACCTTGTCATTAGTAACCAATGGATCTGAAAAAGACACATTTCGCTCAACTTTCCCATCTTCCGACATTTCATAGATGAAATGCACCTCGTTGGTATCTCTTCTCGGTTTTGCAAGAATGTCTTTCGTGATGTCCTCTCGGAGGTTCAGCCATCGCTCTTTGAGATCTTCGACGGGCTTATTGTTCATCGCAACAGATATATACTTCCATGGGATATTGCATTTTCTAAGATCCTGAAGGATCATATCGTCTTGAGCAGACCATCCGGTGTTTATAGAAGCTTCGGGTGTAGCTTTCCCACGCTGCACATATCACTGTTAGCATTTTAGAATACTGAGCATTTCTTGTTCATGTAAAATTCAAACTATTGCTTCTCACAATCTTTGCATTATAGGTGAGCCATCTCTCATTTGTGGTCCTGTAGCCTCTGGATAACGGCATGAATGGTATTCGGTAACGTTCACCGTCCACTATAAATACAGGCATGACAATCTTTCATAGCATCCAGACACTTTATAGTCGCTCAGAGAGATGATTTTATAGGTAGATTATGGGATGACTGATCTGTCCGTTGTGAGTTTATGTATGTGGGCATCGCGAGGAAACATGAAGGGGAGTGAACTTGGAGCCGGGCTGCAGACAGTAGCTTCCTAAAAAGGAAGATGAGGGGTTAGTCGGGTGATTAAATATTGAGGTGGGCATTGTGTCCTGTAGAAATGCAAATATCTGTCTCAATGACTATTCAATATCATCTCCTCTAAGGGATCATCCTACGTTTGCATTTTCTTGCCTGACATATCACCGTATAGTTTGAGAGATGTACCGTCAGCCATTTTTGAAAAGGCCGATAGCCGTATACCACAGATATATGTCAGTGCCAGTCATTCAGTATAGTTATAATATAGGGAAAGAACAAGTAATAGGTCATCAAAACACTTCATTCACTATATTCAATGAGTCTAGTGCCGAGAGTGACTAATTAGATATACCATTAGAAGCAAATTACTACTTGAAGAGGAAACCTTTTCATAGAGCAATCCTTATTGTTGTCCTAATGTAACAATGCCTCGCTAATCATTCATGGATAATGCTTCCATTGATTGCTTGTTTGTATGGTTGGCATAAACTTCAGGATGTGACACCTGAGGCCATACAGTGCTTAGGTGGTCCGAGCGCCTCAACTTCCCAGACGGAATGAGAGAAGACCACCTTGCGCGTCGTCGGGGAATATCGACCGTCAGGCCGCAATCATCCACCACCCCAACCTGCTTTCCTTCGAAGGTTCATACTATTCCCTGAGTCGAAAACTACGATTGCAGGCAAGGAACCATACGCCCACCATGCGATTTTCCGCAACAACCCTCCTGATCACCGCGCTGGGGTGGATCACCGCTGTGACCGCACACACCATCCAGCTTAAGGCTCACTCGAGAGAATGCTACCACGAATCGCTGCATAAAGATGACAAGATGACGGTCAGCTTCCAAGTCGGTGATCGGGAATTCGGAGGCAGTGGCAATCTGGAGATTGACTTCTGGGTACGGCCCTTCCCTCCCATTATGCTTCGGAATGCAGATTGGGGTCATTCAAAAGGAATCGACAACCGGATACATGAACTGATTGGAGTTGATTGAACTGAGCGCTGACGTTTTTCTTTTCTTTTTGCTAGGTTGAGGACCCGTTGAACAACCGCCAGTACTATAAACAGGCTATCTCCTCGGAGGACTACTCGTTTGTTGCTCACGCGGACGGTAAATATGTCTACTGCTTCAGCAACGAAGGATGGACTTCGAACTCTAAGGAGGTGTCCTTCAATGTTCATGGAATTGTCTACGTCCCTGAATCGGAAATGCCCCAAGATCCTTTGGAAGTGGAAGGTATGGATGAAAACACAACATGCGCTCAAGTCGCTCCAGCAGCTAATTGTTTTCGGTTTCTCAGTTCGTCGTCTTTCGGAGGCATTGGCCCAGGTTAAGGATGAACAGTCTTATATTGTGTTGAGAGAGCGAGTACACCGGAACACCGCCGAGAGCACAAATGCTAGAGTGAAGTGGTGGAGTATCTTCCAGCTTGCGGTGCTTATTGGAGAGGGCATCTTCCAGGTGTGGTGGTTGAAGAGATTTTTTGAGGTGAGTTATATGAGACACAAGCTCCCGCTTCTGTTTGCTTGTCCTTTCCCCGTGGAATACTTCACTTTGAGCGATGACTGACTGTGATTTGATAGGTCAAACGTGTGGTTTAATTTATGTTTTCGGGCATTTCACAGGGGTTTTCTAGGCATTTGTGCAATGGAGCGTGTCCTATATCAGAATAAAAGACTTCGAGTATGTCGTAGTGACGAAGTCAAATATATGAATTTATGTGCACAGTCACGAGTATACTTAGCCATCTACAAGCAATTCATTCAATTGAAGAAGCGTTACCTACCTACCTACCTATTAGGTACGCAGCTTAGGACTCAAGCAGAAACCAATCGGGCGTTCCCGTAAAGTACCACTATTTAAGCTACTGAACCTGGACTAGACCTCGTTCTTATGAAAAGGCACCTTACGTCTAGTATGAATGAAGTAGTATGTAACCTTAACCTGCAGCCGCCCCGCACACATCAAAAATATCCTGCGATTTATATTAACCTCATAATGACAGTAGTCTAGAGATTCTTCTACGCTCATCCCAGGGCAGAAAAGAGGCACACGGATCACAATCTACAATCAATTATTCCATCCCCCTATCGAGCCCCGAACAGCCACAATCCGGGCCATGGACCCGAATACGTCATACCCTCTCCAAACAAACGATCCGCTCTTTTACCTCTGCTGGCGCAGACAATCTTGCGGATGGTGTTTGCAAGGCGATGCCCCTTGTAGCTGGTGTTCAGTGGTACGTTGACGTCGCCTTTCCTCACACACCTCGCCATAACCCCTGCCCTCTTTCTATCATATTCTCCACCCCATTCCAACAACGGAGACATCTGGTTACTAGTATATGTCTAAACCGATCCTAACAGACCTCAACCTGCGTGCCCAATCCCGCTCGCGTTCCTATATTGGCTCCTCTTGGCTCCTCTAATATCTGTCCTTTGGGGCCCAAGGAGCGATGGGAACTCCGTGCCATGCCATTCGGATGCAATGTTAGTACTTTTACATTCTTGACAGCCGTAGTTTCCGTCCTGGGGACATTGGCTGCTATTGCACTGGGGTATTTCGTGGTATGGGCTGTAAAGAGGCTGAGGCGGTTCTGGGGACAGGGCAAGCTTGGAGGCGGGTGTATGGATTGGAGTTCTTGGGCAAGACGAGGGGTTTTCCGTCGGCGTCGAGTCCGTACGGTAGGGGATGTGGAAGGGAACCGGAATGGGAACTCTGAGAGAACGCCCTTGTTGGAAGGAGATTGAATGCTTGGGATGTATGTATGTATGGAGCGATTGCATTACTTTGTGATCTAGTCTACGAAAATTGTCTGTGTGGAAGTGGAAGATATGTTTAGTATTTCGCTTGGAGTTGATACATCGATTGACGTTCGTCCTATCGGGAAAATTGTACACCCTGACACGAAAGGATCTGATTTAGCCCTGGAGAACCTGGCTGACTCTGTACTCAACGACTGGCTTGCCGCTCTCGATGTTGAAGCGTCCCTGGCCGACGAACACGCGGTTCTCGAGGTCCTTGTAGCGCTCGTCGCCGGTCTGTATTTGTGTTAACATGGGTTTGTTTTGGGGTGTAGGGATAGGACGTTATCTTGCCTCGAAGGTAAAATGAGTGACTAGCGCTACTGTTAGTGATGGTTCTGCCATGGATTAGTAGCCCGGTGATGTACTCACAGATATTGCCGAAAGGCGTGGAACCCTCTGGGGCGGTGCCGGCGAAGACCGCCTGCTCTGTTGAGGTGAGGTTGACGACACCGGTGTAGTTCAGGTAGAGGAGCTGGTTGCAACTGTCGTTAATTGTCTTGTTTTTCATCCCCATGGTCTACTGCGGATTAGAGTAACCTACGGCATCGTCCTTGGTCCTGGATTACGATGATAGTTAGAACATAATTCAGGATAGAGAAAGGCAGGGTAAGGAGGGAATGAGGAGGGCGTAAAAAAGGTAGAAGCCTACTTAAGAACTGCATGCGCGTTCAATCGCATGTGCTTGCCATCGGCATCCGCGTGGATGTAGTCGTTGCCCACTCCGACGAATTCGGCGTCGAGCGCGGGGGAGAAACCAGAGTCACCCTTGACGGTACCTCCGGTCATAGGCTTTTGCCCATCAAAAGAGCACAGTTAGATTCTATCCTGTCTATATGTTACATAGAGATGACGGATAGGTTGACATACCACAACCTGTAGAGGGTTGGACCGAGAGGCGCTGCCTACGCGCATAGTAGTAGTTAGTTGTCTACCGCTCTTTGGCATTGGCGAGTAAGTACAACTCACCAACTGCTAGGGCGGCATCTATGTTCACCTAGTTTCCAGTCAGATCTCAGGAAAATGAGGCAAGTCTTGGTGTTGGTCAGCATACGTACCCGAACGGTGAAGGCAGGCTTAAGAGTGGGAAATCCGGACATGATGGCTTGCGAGTGATGAACTAAGACCAGCGATAGCAAGAGAGGAATTATACAAAGTGATTGAATTGCTTTAAAGGGAAAATGAATCTAGAATTCGATGATGTACCGAGGAGAACGCAGTTTTCGACTGGCGCAATTGAACCCCGCACTAGTGGAATGATTATGTACGATGAGGGGCATTTATCCTACAACAACATCGACATATTTTCTGGCCACAAGTTCCATGGAGAGCCGTATCATATGTCAGTAGTATTCATGCTTTGTGGTACACTGTGTATATTGTACGCCAGTGATGTTACTTGACGTCCATTTTAGGATTAGAGGATCACGTTCCCAGTTGTATATGTGTGCTGTGCTCCAGCTCTATCGGGGATCATAGAATAAGAACAAGGAGAAAACATCTAGGGATGCCCTCCCTTAATCTCGGATGTTCTTGTCTATGGAAATTTGTTCATATTCTCTAATCCTTGAATCCATTTGTTATTCTATATACTTATGGAAGAGCTAAGGACATTGACATTTCGTTATGCCACGTTCTCATTGGCATACGCTGTGGATTATTAGAACCACCTGAATCGTAGCATCTGGGAAGTTTCGATAAATCCAAACTCAATCCACTTGAACTTTCACCAGCATCCGACGGGTCACTGCATACCAAAACATCCAAGACGCACATCGGCAACTTCCCAAATAAACGGTGTGGCTCCGTTGCAGACAGCTTCCCTTGAATTGAGATAGTTGGATATTCATGAGCGAAAGAGTTTTGGATATGAATAAGGCAGCATGATCGATCATCTTTTACAGAGTTGGAAGAGAGAAATATCCTCATTTTTGCCCGAATCGCTTCAAAGTTCCAGCCTTCACATTGTTTCACTTCCTGCACCTATCACTTAGCTGGAGATTGTGGGTTATTATTAGGTGTGTCAATTACGGCATCTTTTGTGCGTCGGTAATTTTAAGCCCCCAACTCGAAGGGCTGAGGAGACATCTGTAAGTCATCCAGTGGACCACTAATTTCACAGGTGCTGGCCACATCATTGGGCCTAAGAGACTGTAATAATCTGTGCACTGAACTTAGAGATGCATTCCATAACGACGGAAATCACCTTGCTCCGCAAGTTCAGTCTTTTCGGAAGGCTGCATAGAGCCATAGACCCTTGGAACAACTGGGTGGCGGTCTACTACACAATAGGTTGTGTCTACAGAAGAACCGAAGACACAAGTGAATGCAGTGGTATCAATGGTGTGTTGAGATAATCATGAGTCACGAGACATGATCTGCGGACGATGGGTTGGTCAGATCTGATATCTTAAGCCTTTACGCTAGTGAATTCGACTGGCCCGACCCTTAGCGGTGCCCTATTACAATTTCCGTTTGCATTGATCATGAAACCCACAACCACAGCCTGTGCTCACAAGGTCTCCAGGTCTCCCACACACATAAATGGGCCATGTTACTCCGGTTAACCTTCAGTCGAGCAAACCAACTGCCCCCTGGCACCCACGTGGGGACTCCCGGAGACAGGAGAGGCTCTGTCTGACATTTGGTTGGGTAGAAGTTAGAGGATTGACGCTGCGGGTCACTGCATAGCCTATACTGTACCCGCACATATACTCTGACAGAGTCAGTAGACACCTCCAATATAGAAATCCGACCACCTGAGTATGGCGTGTGACCCCTCCCTTCAGAATGCATAAAGGCCTATGCATTTGTCCAACCTATCTTGAGTTAAGGGGGTAAAGTTTGAATATTGAAAATTCAAAAGACACTACCAAGAGATCCGACTCGGAAGTGGACCAACACGGTACTCGGCAGGCTAAACCTAATCAGTCTCCGAATTTCATCCATCAACTAAACGGTAGTGACGTTGACTCCGTCATTATTTTTTACGTTTTTTATCTCGCTTCCTCAACCTTTCCAGGTCGCGTGTCTGCTTCCTGTTTTCATGTTTGGGATTGCTGGCAAGAGCCAAACTATTCTTTTGCCGCCCGGTCGGGGCTTCTCGTGGTCTAGAAAGAAATACCAATGCTTCCCATTCTGCTTCTCCCGATTATCTCGACCCTGATCGGCAGTGCTTCCGCCACACCTATATCGGAACAGCAACCGTTGGGTGACCGGCTTGGGCACTCAGATGGAGATCTTTATAGTATAGAGAGGCGACCGGGCTCCTCTTCTGGCCGAGGACTCACCGGCCGCTTTCTGCATATAACAGGTACGGGGTCGTTTATCCCAGCGAATGAAGAAGGAAGCAAGCTAATATTTGTAGATTTACACCCAGACTCGCACTACAAGGCCGGGAGATCCGTGGACGAGGATGACGCATGCCATTGGGGAAAAGGCCCTGCGGGGTACTTTGGATCGGAAGGGAGCGACTGCGACTCGCCGCTCACACTCATAGACGAAACATTCCGCTGGATAGAGAAGAACCTCAAAGGCCATATCGACTTTGTCATATGGACTGGTGACTCGGCTCGTCATGATAATGATGAAAGAATTCCTCGAACAGAGGAGGAGGTGTCTGCCTTGAACGAGATCGTTGCTGGCAAATTCATTGAAACTTTCAAAGAGGGTTCCAGTCACTTTCCTTCTATTCCAATCGTCCCCACGCTGGGAAATAACGACTTCATGCCACACAACATATTCAACGATGGCCCAAACCGATGGACTAAGAGGTTTGTCGATGTATGGGCAAAGTTTATCCCGGAGCATCAGCGCCACACTTTCGTGGAGGGTGGCTGGTTTACGTCGGAGGTGATTCCCAACAAGTTGACAGTAATCAGCTTGAACACAATGTATTTCTTTGACTCCAACTCCGCGGTCGACGGCTGTAACGCCAAATCGCAGCCAGGGTTTGAACATATGGAGTGGCTGCGTGTGCAACTACAGTTGCTGCGGTCACGCGACATGAAAGCAATCCTGATAGGGCATGTTCCGCCGGCGAGGTCTGGATCCAAGCGAAGCTGGGATGAGACGTGCTGGCAGAAATACACTCTTTGGGTTCATCAGTATCGTGACATTATTGTTGGTACTGCCTATGGGCATATGAACATCGACCATTTTATGCTCCAGGATAGTCGTGAAGTGGATATCCTTGATGCCAGCAGCAAGAGCTCGGCTTCTTCAGCCGTGGCTGATGATACGTCTCCCTTGGTCTCTGTTCAGTCCCGCCAAAGTTACCTTGTTGATCTGAGGAAAGATTGGTCTAAAATGCCGTCACCGCCCCCAGGAATGTCAGACCTACATGAATTATTTGAGGATGGTCCCACCGAACATACCGAAAATGCTGATCTTGAGGCTCTGATGTCAAAGAAAAAGAGACGCAAGTTTCTGAAGAAGATTGGTGGTCCCTGGGCTGAGCGATACAGCGTGTCACTGGTATCTCCCAGCGTAGTTCCCAATTACTTCCCATCGCTTCGGGTCGTTGAGTATAACATCTCTGGCTTGGCCGATGCCACGACTTGGGCCGAGTATTTGGATCTAGATACTGCAGTACCCTCGCCATCCTCCGAGATGGTAGAAGATGATGCATTTATCGAGAAAAAGAAGAAGGGGAAGAAGAAGAAGAATCAGCCCCACTTCAAGGTCCCCAAACCCCCGTCGTCGTCTGCTCCACCAGGGCCGGCGTACTCCAACCAACCGTTTACATGGCTGGGTTACACTCAATATTACGCCAACCTAACCAAAATCAACGACCATATGACCAACAGCAGGGAAGTTGCGGGTGGCTCCGCCAGTCCTACAGACACCGAAAGTACCGAGGTTCCTGAAGCGAGCCATGGCGAGGATGCATTCACCTATGAGGTTGAATACGATACGAGAGATGATCGAATTTACAAGATGGAGGATCTCACAGTGCGCAGTTTCTTTGAACTGGCGACTCGAATTGCGAAGGAATCCTCAAAGAAGAATGATTTCCTGGCAGACAATACGAATGTCGATGGTCTACCTGCCAGTAAGACTGGCGTAGTCGATGATTATGACGACGATGACTTTGAACAACAAAAGAAAAAGAAACAGAACAAAGTATGGCGAACGTTCTTAGAACGCGCGTTTGTAGGATTTGTGGACAGTGATGACCTTGATGACATGTCAGAATGATTCAGTTTTCTTTTACGCGATGGTTTGGGCTGAAGAATATAGAATAGGCCGACAAGGGACGGGTTTTATTTCTTGCCATTTGTTTTATAATTTCAAAGAACCAGTATTGCTACATGTATATAGTAGTCTCTTGGCTCATAATGCTGGTGTTGCTGAATGATGACTTCAGATGTGGGGATGCATGTTAAAACGGAGTTGCACTTTGATAGTTGATCTGTGTTAGATATAAAGGATAGTAACAAGCGCTAAATCCACTATTTCACAGCATAACCTTGATTATCTTTATTGTACATGCTACTAGTATATAGTAACAGATGTATGCATACAGTCGAACAAGGATAAGTTAGCGGTCAACAGGGCGGTGGGACTCTGCCATGTGTTGGAATGATTAAATTGGCTCCTTGTTTTATCCTCACAGGGAGACCGACTGACTACACTTACAGGACTCAACTGCAGTCCATGGAGTGAGGGGACCAGTAATACTGATTTTCTTTCAAAGAAGACGGTGCCACCTTGTTGCAAGGTGATGTCTCACAGCCCCCGCCAACCCATCGATTATGTCGGTGCCACGCTGGCAGATGCCTGCCAACTGTCAAGATTGCGCCCCGTCCGAGTTAATTTCTGCCGCCATCCCAATGCTAACAAGCGCGCGGACGCTGAGCTCCAACGTTTGTGGTTTAGTCCATCAGACGGTCTCTGCGACGGAGTGGCCCAGGCACCGAGATCATGCCTTTTCTGAAATGACTGTCCTATAATGAGATTATCTGCAGTCTGCAGCACTATCTGCGGCCTAAGTGCTACTTATTTCTGCCGGACGATAGGCGATCCACCGTACTAATCCTATCTCATCTATCGACTGGATTAAAAGCTGCAAGGCAGCGAAAATCAGCACTCGGGTTCTGACACGTATCGAACTAAACGATGCGTTGTCCTCCCGCGTCATGCTTGGACTTTGGGGGACGGCAGCAGTCAAAATTTCGCCACATTTCTTTTTTCCCCCGTAATTACTTATGACGATTCTCTTCAATTATGGAGGGTTTTGTATGGCTGCCCGACTGTTCCCGTGTTTTGGGAATTAAAAAAGGAGGGAGAAAATAAAAATTTCCCCCACAATGGAGGATAGCAAGATCGGATGAGGCGACAGTGAGGTTCAATGCATATGACGGCATGGGAATATTGAGGGAAACAACAGGTCATTGTATAGATTAAGACAGAACTGACCCAGTATTGCCGCGGCCCCATCCACTTCCATACTGCGCCAGGGGAAATTCCGACCGCACAAGTACTAATTTCCCTTGCATCATCCGGTTCTCACTACGACCTTACTATTTCAGTTCCTTCCCCCAATGCACGGGCAGCAGTGGCCGGGCTGTCCACTTCTTTTGTCAATTGTGGCTGATACCGCTTTTTGGACCAAATCCACCTTCTTGAACAATCGCAATATCTAAGCCGCTTCCTCTTCATCCAACGACTAATGCTAGGGCTTGTTCGTATCTCTTATTGTTTTTGACTGTGCCCCTCCCATCCTCATTGCCAGCAACCGCTGGCTGAGAAGCACAGACTACCGCCTTACCGCGCCAGTTGCACACGATGCATCGAAAGTGCCTCCTGCCTCAGAACCACGAGCTCCTTGCCCTTGAATATTTTGCCATTGACCGTTCCCCCCTTCCGTGTGCCTTGCGTTGCTAATCGCTTCCCTGTATCAATCGATTGTTTTGATATTTCCAGTTCTTGCATACAGTCCTGGTTATCGAAACCCCGTCGCAGCGTTTTAACGTTTTTGATTGGAAACACCGACCTGTCTTTTTAGCTCCCTTGGTGCCATTGTACAGTCTACACCAGAAATTCTTGCATATTGCGAGAGGTTTCAAGGCACTCAGTACTTGACCTGTTTGTAACATATACAGTTTACGGTTCAATTGGTGGCTTTGTGATTTCAGCGCTTCGCTTTATCGTTCGGTGCTTAATTCCTTAATTCTCCAGTACAATTCGAAAGCGACTTTTGAGGGACAGGTGCAAGGGAGATTACAGCACACAGTCAAAGCAAGCTTCGAAGTGACAGTACGCAAAAGAAATTCTCGCTTAACTGCCGACATTGCATAGCGACAAACCTAAAAAAAGAAGTGCATCTGGCTTAAGCGCCTGGCATGGGCAGCAAACTGTACCGCGCTTGAATAAACTGGCTTGATTCTACCGTTCGCTTGTGCGCGCCTCCGAGGTAAGATGAAAAGCTCTTTAGCACTCTTTCTGTTCCATATTTCCACTACATCCCACTGTCGCGCTTGAAATATAGTCGAAACGACGAAGGCTTCTATTTCCCCTTGTGCAGTTGACAGCTGGCCCCGGTTATCATCTGGAGTACTTGGATTCTTCTGGAGACAACCATTTCGCTAACATGGCACAATATGCAATGCACATGGCTAATGTCTGCGACGGTTTCTCTATCATAGACCCTAATTTTCTGGCTTTGTGGATGGCTTCCTCCGAGGTAGACCAGAAGGCCTTGGGCAATTTCGCGGCCTTAACCAGCCTCGAAAACCCATTCCTGTCCGCAATGCTTTATAGAGTTCTAGGCCTTTCGGTCATGCTTTCGAAAAAGCTACTTCGTGCACGACGATTGCGGCGACTGGACCCTAGCCGAGAAACCAAGTCGCTACAGTTGTATCATCATATCTTATGGCTCTCCCGTGAAGGATTACTGATTCTGGAAGAGTTCGTTCTCCCGATGGTTGAGGGATATGTGGAGCCGAAGATCCTGGCCTATAAACTCCGAGCATCTTTTTACCACATATTTGTGCTTTTCCACAATCAGCCCGCAGTTCACTGGCCCGGCATCACCAGTTTTCCGAGCAACGGTACCAAACTAAACAACGCACCCAAAGCCGAATCACTAGGCAAAGAACCCGGGTCGAGGTTCTCGTTTAGATCGAACGCAGAATCAATATCAGTCCCTGAACAGCCAGCTTACAGCTCAGGGAACGTTTCCCGGTACACTACTCTCCAGGTTCCCCCGGGGCTTGCACCCGTTCAACCGCCCAAGGCGTCGTCCTTTCTCCTGCCTGCTCTCGACTACACCCCTACGGCGACGGCATGCTTCAATCACGCGTCTCTCTTGGCTGAACGATTTCTTCCTGGCTCCCACCCTTTGCGTCTGTCTATCAAGCTCGAGTATGCGGCGTATCTTTACGATTGCTCCATGATCCTAATGCTTGCCGGCGGGTGGCCAAACAAGCTATAGCGGATGTGTATAAAGCCCAAGAGGCTATGGATGATGAAAGCTTTGCAGATGCCGCTGAGATCGTTGGAATTTTGGGGAAGATGGTTAAGCGAGGGGGCAAGACTAGCAGCACTGAAGGTAGCAGCACGGCCTCTGCGACACTTCGGGGCGGGAGTTCGAGGAGTGAAATTGGCGATACACCGGCAACGGTCACACCAGTGCCACCGGTAACAGCATCACCAAAGACTAACAATGACTTGCCTCCGGCTGTTCCTGACCCTACCATGATGAACCCAATCTAATATCACTACAACTTTTGAGTGCCGATGATTAATTGCGACGATGTCGCTACGATTGTACATGATGGCCAAACGTGCTGCAGTGTGGTTGTTTGATGACATTCAAAGATCTTCCTCGGCTGTGGCACTAGCCTTGTCACTTGTCCTTTTACTTCGTTTGGAGCGACATTATATACTCTTTCCTTTTTATTGGTTTTAGGCTTTCATACCTCTAATGCGGTAATTCTAGATAGTCGTTTTGTATTATCCAACCTCACAGTGCTAGCAAAAAGAAGCTATACGTTGGTATTTACATTGTTCCTTGCCTGCTTTTCGACTTCAGTAGTTAAATTGTTGGTGGCCCTGCAGCACGAGTGATTGTCTGTTGACAGACCATCTCAGCCTCAACACTGAAGAGAATACTTGAAGTCACTCGTCATGATATCATGATCCGTTATTATCGAGTGTAGTGAGCATTATCTGTTTCTCCAGTCTACCATAATGTATCAAGTTTCCATTTGCATTTTCAATAACCCTTTAACTAGTGAACTAGTACTTCTGAGTGTTTGGACCGTTTGCTAAAGGCCCTACCCACGCAAGATTCAGTTCGCAGGCATGGATTCCTTCAACTACCCTTTGACAGCTTTCGACTCTGCATTGCCACGGAGCTACCCTGCCTTTCTCCTCTTCTTCTGCTCTACAAATCCATAAACAGGGCTCCAGGCATTAGAAAATGGGGTGGCCAAGCTAATCCAACGGCTTCCATTTCTTGCTGGGGATATCTACCCGTGTTCCTGCGACCATCCTTTTAAAGACCAGATACAGCCCTCACCTCGTACGCTCTACAAAGTGCCAATGTTCCAGTCTCAGTACCAACCCGTACTAATGTCCAGTGTCATGAGCCAGCTTGGGTCCGCCATTTACACAACCACCCTGTGCCCCATACGACCTCGTTTGGATGATTCTGAACCTCGCCCGGTCCTTCGCTTTCAGGGAACCCAATTAAAAGATGGCATTGCCCTCAGCATGTCCTTTTTCGCATAATGTGTTTGACGCTGCTGGGGCTGGATATGTGCTTGAGTCATTGGCAGCTTGCTGTTACAATACTTCAACCGGTGGCACTGATGCTCAGATGCCGTTGGCATTGGATCCAGAGGCCGATTTGCGGATAAGACAGGTGATCTTGGACGATAGCTCTAGGCCATGCAGCACGGAAAAGTTCTCAGAGAACTACCGGTGCAACGTACGCGAGAAAGCGCGCGACGAACTTGCTTCCGTGGTAGCAGTTTATCACCACAAGATGTATACTTTATCTGAGAATAAGATCCAGATACTGAGGGCAACGTGCAATAACTTAGCTCCCTGCTTTGAGAAAGTGCCATCTTCACGAGCTAGGTCTATCTCGAGATCAGATATAGTGAGCGCAGCACTTGCGCTTTGCGTGAAAAGGAGTCGGGCTGCTGCGGCGCAGAGTGGACTAGTATCCAAACCGAAGGAGCCAGGGCGATTTGCGCTGGCTGTGAATCTGCGCCCGCGGCTCCGGAAAGTCGGTGCTGAAAAGTATTTTGATAGTTTTATGACCACTGTCCAGATTAATTCGATACAGAAGGATGTATACCCAGGAGGGGGGTTTTCTGATTACAAGGGATTTGACCTGCTGCATCTCACGAGAATTGCATTAAACTTCCGTCAGAAGGTCACTGCTGTTACCCCTGAATATTTTCACGAGTTGAGCTCTCATTTGTGACAACAGAAGAATATTCGGCTTACAACTAGGCTTGCAGAATTCGGTGTGACTGATATGAGACCGCTAAAAATGTACAGCCTCAACTTTGGGGGGCAATTGGGTTTCATTGATTACCTGTGGCTCCAGTTGAAGCCTGTCGATGGAACGTGTGTCATTATGCCAGCTCGTATCAAAGATTCTGATAATCACTACGGGAGCAAGGTAGAGGGTTCATGGGACGTCTTGATCACATTGAAGCCGAACGTTCTTGATACTTTGGAGAAGGATCCACTGTTCAGCTTTTTGGTGGAGAAGAAGGAACAGCTGATCGGGTTCAATTCAAACACTGGTGTACATGCTCACTTATAACTGTGTTTCATGCTGCAATACCAAGCATCATTGTGATTGTGGAGACTAGGTGGAAAACTTTCCAATTGCATCTATATGGATAGTCAAACCAGCAAGGGGTTTCTTTTCTTTTGTTTGCTAAGTGAACATGCTTATTTACGAGTCTGTGGTCAGATCAGTTTGTGGGCCCTTTGCTGCTATCCGTGCTACTGTGGGATAGTGAAGGCACCCATATGTGATACAAGGGCTAAGGATAGCATTGTGGATGCCCGGAGTAAAGAGGCGACATGGTTCAAACAAAGAAAATAGAAGCCGATGTCGTACTGGGCGAAGTAGTCTTGATCCTGCCCTCGTCTTTGCGGGGAGTATACTAGTGCCAGATTATTACCTGTGCGTGAGTGCACGGAAAGTGGATGATGAGTACATTTCGATCCTGAACCAAGGAAGAAGGGTCGGTCTATAGTGTTGCAACATGAGGCAGCATCTGGGTCGCCTCAGGCAGACGACGCTAACCGATGCTACGGTAAAATCCCCAGGGCGGTCGGGAATCAGAAAAAAAATAAGAACGAGAGAAAGAAAGGAAAGACAACGTGCAGATCGGCCACAGGACTAGTGAAAAGGCTATTGACTTCGTGCCAATCGAACTGCCAAAACGCCTCTGCCAAAAATAATCACCGGTCATACTTGCATGCTTAGGGGGTTGGATACTGCTCTGATTCGACTTCATTGTTGATTTTCCTCCTCACTCATCCTCCTCTCTCGCAGCTCGTTCCCCACGGGCAACTCAACCTTGGCCTCTATCGACTTGGCAACATCCGCTTGCGACCGGGCGTTACGTTGCGTCGACCACGTCCTTTACGTCATTCAGTAGCGATCGAACCCTGCAAAAGTTCCCCCCGACATAGAATAAACATTCCATGCCGATTTAAAGCCTTATACTCCTCTCCCCATCCGGCGTCAACCCCACCATTGCGTGTTGTGCCTATCTCGTTGCCGGGGCTTCATTTCCCAAGTCACTTTCGCGAGATACCGACCGACCGGGCGACTGACCCCCGACCGAAGGCGAAAAAAAAAAAAAAAAGGAAAGAAAACAAAGAGGCAGCAACCGAGAAGAGATATAAGTGCGCGTGGGAAATTCAATCAAAAACTAGACGCTATTTCGCATATACCAATCGGGTCTTGATTTAATTTTCAGCTTAGTCGTCAATTCCGTATGGCAATGAAGTTGCCTGATCACGAAAGCTCTTGAAGCAAGCAGGAATTCTGTTGACTCTGGAAACTCGCCTTCTCGAGGATTGCCAGCGTGGACGAGAGGTCTATGAACGTGTATAATGCGGTCAGGCTTCCACAAACCTGTTGCCTTCCCTGTTCTTGCGCTTCTTGTTTTCTCATTGCTCAGCTTGGTGTCCTTGGCAAAAGAGTGGGACTTTTATAATCTGCGCTTCGGGTATATCGGTTACCATCATAACGATGTTCGGCGTAAGTTTCTTGTGTTCCGTTGTGATTCATCGGTTATAACATCCAGCTCATATTGCGTGGAACAGAACCTTCCCGTTTTAGAGATGGCCCAGTCGACGCCCGTTCGAGGATACGGACGACCGGCAGTCAGTGTAAGTCGTGGGCGATAAATGGTTACTGCCTACCAGATATGGACCGTGTTCATCGCTCGCGGCGCTCCGTGCCAGACACTCCACGTAGCTCGTTCGAGGCTGCTACTGTTTTTGACGCCGATTCGATAGCATACCTTGCCGAAGAACCATCAACTTTCGCGCGAGGTGTACGCGTTTTCAAATCGATTTTCACGAAACAGACAGATGATAGTCAGATATCTAACCCTCTTGCCACGGGGAGCGCCTCTTCTGTGGTCTCAGCACCTAGCTCTCTCCCCTCGAATGGATCCAACTTAGCTGTTATCGGCGCCTCTCCTACCATTGAAGCACGCCTTCCCAAGTCGTACAGCGGCAATGCCACGGCCACGGCGAAAAAAGTCACTTCGCAGCGGCCCCAGTATTCTCTTCCTCATTTACGTGAATTATGGCAGCGGGCCTGCCATGCTACGAGGGCCTCTCTTGGGGGCTGGACTGTTCCACATATTCTTCGAAGAGAACGACTACCACCCGGTTCTGAAGCGATCACTGAAGAGACATTGCAATTGTCAAGACAAACTGATCAACACATTGAAGAGGTTACACCCAAGGTGCTCAGTAATGCCGCGCTTTCGACCTTGTCACCTACATCTCCGCAATCGCCTGCTAAGCCAACCGACATCCCTGATTTACCTGTGGTAACTGAAGAGCCGCCCAAGGGCGTTGGTCATGGTCCGAATTCACAGCCTGCACGCGGCAGTTGCATGGCTATTGTCATCAGCCTAGTTGTCGGTGTCATGTGGTTCTGAGAAATCGTTGTGCGCCTCCAACACTCTCCCAACTACCGCAATGATTCAAAATGATGAACAAGCAGTATTGGCATGGGTTTTGATTTTGTTTTCTTCGATTGTCGCATACTTTGGCATCCCCTGTTTACGGAATACGGACCTGGCGTTTGTTTATGTACGTTTTCTTCCCTTTTCAGTCGGTATGCAACTGGCTGCTGGTAAATCGTTTGTTCGTCCTTGTGGACCACTAATTTCCCTGTCACCATGCACGGGGCTGGCTTTGATTCTCTGCAGCAATATTGGCTTATTTTATGTATGGACAACTTCAGCTGTTTTGTGTATATCCCTCGGCCCGGGATGCCATGTTTGATGTCTTACGAGATTTGGTCGTTTGGTTGATAGATATGACCTGGATAGTTCTCTGATAGTCGTCCGCAGTCTGTACTTCATACCTATGGTTGCCGATTGGCAACTTGGGACTGGCCTACTGGATGGTCTTGTACAGTACCTAATAATATTTAATCGTTGATGACCAATTCCTGTGCTCGACCGGCAGCGAGATCTTCATAAAGAGCGACCTCTAAATATTCATAGGATACATAGCAAGAAACGATAACTTGGTGAGAGAGGTCATAGTTTGTTTTGGAGTTGATCTGCATTTGTTTACCTGGAATTCGATACGTCCAGCGCACGGACCATATCCAAGAATCGCCTTCCCGTGACCAGGGGTCCTTCTTCACCTCTCCGTCTGCTCGCCTTCTCCCATGCCCCATTGTCAGCATCATCCGTATATATTGACAATCATACGTGCTGTTGTCTAATTGTCTTGAGTTGATATCACAACAGTGTGTGAACGAAAATATTATCGGCCTGAGCTGACTAGACGCGCCTTGTTCAATGTGACAATCGGGGCTAAGCTTCCAATATAGAGCTGGGAAACCTCACATCGCATTGTGCACATACTATCTAAGTAATCTGCTATATAACTGAATATTCAAACAAGCTACCCGTTAGTAAATGGAGGGCATTTAGCAATTGTATTGATACTGAACGCTGAATGGCAGGGTTTCAAGTGATCTACAATCTTCAAACGCCTGCAGGATGCGCAACGTGACAAGACTTCCTGGTACTCCTTGTTGTGTATGTCGCCTCAAAAAGAGAGGATGCGACAGACAAAAACCAAGTATGCTTTCGTTAAATCTCACTGCATAACTTCCTTACCCTTTCACTTGCGCCCCTACGCTGCGCGACAAAATCACTAAGTACTGTGTATAGTATGCGGAGCATGTCAGCAAAGGGGCCAGCCATGCTCCTATAGACCCCAGGATATGCCCCCTACGTATGACTCAAATCTGATCTGATTGAATCCTGCTAAGGTCGGTCGCAGTGAATCCCAGAGACGACGTATGACTACCCAGGTGTTCTCTGAGCTAGAGGCTGTTATTGTTTCTACTCCAAGCAATGAAAGACGCCTACGAGTTCGTGGGGTGCGCCGGTCGCCTGATATTACAGGAGACGACGTGATTGAGGTCTCCTCCGTGAATTCGGAGCAAAGTTACCACACCGCTGTTGTGCCTCAGGAGGAAGGCTTCCATCTCGATGATGGTGGTGCGCAGGCCTCGCAAATGATGAGGTTGCAAAGAGCTGTTGAGGAGCGAACAGGCAGGGTCAAGGATGAAGATCTAACAGGCGACATCCCTCTTTTAACTCAAATTCCCATGTTCACAAACGGAGTCATACAGCCTTCAGTCGCCAGATCGAATGGCGAGGACCCACCAGTGCATTTGTCACAGGACATGGCTGATCATCTTGTTCTCTCTTACTTAACGAGAGAATATGCAAACTTGCCCATCCTGGACTTGTTACAGTTTCAATCAGCCTACGAGAGTACCAGAACTGAACAGGATATAGCCGCAACATCCAGTAGTTTCCATGGTATTTTGAATACCATTTTCGGTTTATCTGGTCTGAGTGCAACCGATGTGAATGACGAAGATGTGACGAGTTTCTTCAATCGCGGTCAGAGGATGTCCAGGGATATGGAGAACAGCGGATCTCTATGTGAACGTATTCAATCATTTATTTTACAAAGCCAGTATCTATATGCGATTGGCAACTCAAGATTGGCATGGATGTTCATTGGGTTTGCCATCCGCACGGCGCAGGTTCTGGGCCTGCACCTCAAGACAGGGGGGCATGATGCCCGAGGAAGGCGGGATCGCGAACTCGCTCGGCGACTCTGGCATAGTGCCATGATCCTGGAACGGATGATTGCGCTGCAACTAGGGCTTCCACCGCAAACCTCCAATCCACTGAGGGTGCCGTTACCGACGCATTGGGACACAGACTACATCGATTTTATATCCGGAGGAAATCCCCCCACCACGGCAGATCGTCCATCATTAATAGAGTTCTTGACAGCCTGTGCGAGGCTGTATAGCCACGTCGAGGATATTCTAGCATGGGAGGATGAACTGAGAATGCAGCCGAATAGTTGTGCTGCGAAGAAGCTACTTTCTTTTGACTTCAAAATATTTTTGAAGGTGGACACTCTTTTATACGATTGGCAGACATCTCTGCCATCGTATCTGAAAAATGATGCCGCGGACGGCATATGGAATGATCCGGTAGTGTGTCGGCAGCGGAATGTTCTCCGAGCACGCTACCTATATGTCCGTCTTCGACTTTATCGGCCTCTGCTGGCCTTGGGACTCGCACTGTCCACCAAATGCAACTGTCGACCTGAAGGCCGCCCGCATGCTACCAAAGAGGAGCCTAGCTCATCTACCTCCCCTGTGGTTTTCAGCATGGTACGCGACGCCTCAATCAAGAGCGTGGCGGTCGCCTTGGAACTGATCAACCTTATCCGTACGCACGAAGATGGGCCGCGCGATGGCAGGCTAGACCAAGGTCGCTATAATCTGATCTCTCCATATTGGGAGAACATCGATTATATTTACGCCTGCGGAACGGTCTTTCTCGCAGCTCGTCTAAGTAACTTTAGCAGCTTCAATGACAATAATTCTGGTGGAATCAATGAAGGGGAGGTAGAGACGTCTTTGACGCGTGCTATCGATATGTTGGACCATTACCACAGTATTAGACCAAATGGCAAGGTGGCGCGTATAGCACAGATGTGCTGCAATACATTAAAAACTCTCTCGGATGTTGTTAAAAAGCCTGGCACTGCTGGCCCATCAACCGGCGCAGCTGCGGTCTTGGATGAAAATACTCGAGATCGGCTCCTGGGTAGGACGGAGAACAGCAATCCGGCCCTTAACAGAACCCGGACGCAGTCGATAGGGGACGCGCTCGCATATTATGGATGGATTGAGAGTCTGCCTATAGATTTGGCTGGTCCACTGGAATGAGGCTTTGATACCCTTGCATTGTGTACTAAACAAGACATTATTGTTATTTCTATGACGATCGGCAATTGCTATATAGAATCCTGTTTTCGATCAACACCTTGGCTATTAACAGATGCCTGGCTTTATCTAGTCATTCCATTAACCCTTGCTAACGGCTGACCGGCCACGATGCCCTTCTGCAGCTGAACAAAGGAGGCCATCGTGCGCCGACATTGGCGTGCAACATCTTCCCAGTCACTGGAGAAGGACAAAGTGAGTCAATGGCGGGATCGACCGGAATTATCATGGAGTTTGGATACATTTGAGGAAGCTAACGATCCTTTGCTCATGATTTTCAGGGCTGAGGCAAGGGATCACTCGGAAACGTATTCCGGACGTTACAAGGGGGAACGACTCCTCATACCTCGCCCGAAATGCTGAGGAATATTTGGAATGGAGGGTATATGAGGTTGGATTGAGATATGACTCCATTAGCTATATGCGGTCTAGATTTCACGATTTCGCCTTCTCGGCCTCGTCGACCAACGTTTCGACTTCTTGCTCAGTGAACCGATGGAACAGTTTCTTTGGATCCGAGAGATCGGCTTCTCCGTTTTCCAATTGACCTTTGACCGACTGGACGTGTAAGACGGGGACGTCGAACTCATAAACATCCTTCCAGGGCTTGTTGGTAGGGACCATGATATCCAATTCGGAGTATTCGAAGGGCCGCCGCTTGTGTAATTGAGTTACGGCGTGTTTTGCCGTGTCGCACAGTCCGCAGCCGACACGAGTGAAGAGGGTCACACGAACTGCCTGGGAGAGACGGGCGGCGGTAGGGAACATGGTGAGAGATTTTTTTCTTAAATATAATATTAAAAAAATAAAAATAAAATAAAATAAACGAATGGCGCTTGAAAGGCTGACAAGGTTGTGGTGGTTGAAGGCCGCGAACGGGCGATGATGTAGTATAGAGTTAGTTGATCGTGCTCTCCACGCCGATAGAATGGAACCTTCGAGCTTCTCCAGACTAAGCCCCTTCGGGCCACTTTGGGCGGCAGCTGCGGCGGCAGTATTTCAGCATGCGATTTGCCCCCGCCAGCCAAGTTCTTGTCTCATAGACTAAAGCGATTTCTACTGTTGCTCGTCTACTATACATCTTGTTGGGACGAGAAGTGCATTGTCCCCTCCTGATCCAAAAAAAATGTCCAAGTGCGTCCACAAGGGTTGCGGGAAGGTCTTCACCGATCCCGAAGAGCCATGCGTCTATCATCCTGGACCACCGGTCTTTCATGAGGGCCAAAAGGGTAAGTTTAAGGACCTTGGTGTCTACGGTGGCCCCTGGGATTCGTTACATAACGCCGCCGTCCTTCCCTGCGGTGCGATCCACCAACGTTAACCATCCCGTTATCTACAGGCTGGAAATGCTGCAAGCCCCGCGTTCTCACCTTCGATGAATTCCTCGAAATCCCACCTTGTACTACCGGCAAGCATTCGACTGTAGACGATACCCCAGTCGAACCCCCCAAGAACACAGGATCCGCTGCTGCTGAACTAGTCGCACCCCAGCCGGTAACTGCGCCTGTCGCAGATAGCGGGGTACCACGGCCGACATACTCGCCCGCCATTGCCCCTCCGTCGAACGCAGCGACGCCCGCCCCCGAAGAATCAGAGTCCGACGATCCATCTCTTGAGATCCCAGCGAACGCCACATGCCGTCGCAAGGGATGCGGTGCGAATTACAACTCGTCCGTGTCGCGGGAGGAGGAGAAATGTGTCCATCACCCTGGACAGCCGATTTTCCACGAGGGTAGCAAGGGATGGTCATGCTGCAAGAAGAGGGTTCTGGATTTTGACGATTTCCTGAAGATCGAAGGCTGCAAGGAGAAAAAGAAGCATCTTTTTGTCGGACAGGGCAAGCCAGCTGGTGAGGAGAAGGTGGAGAGTGTCAGGTGAGTGAACCCTACCGTTCGTCCTACGAATGGCGGTACGTCTTTGGGGAACCTTGTCTTAACCTCCTCTGCCTTGTACAGAAACGACTTCTACCAAACCCCACACTCGGTCAATGTCTCGCTGTACCTGAAGAAGATCGACAAGAACCAGGCTAAGGTCGAGTTCTCTGAGCAGTCGATCGATCTGGATCTTCCCACTACCGATAACAAGCGGTACAAAGATACATACCAGCTGTTTGCGCCGATTGATCCCGCAAAATGCCAATTCAAGGTGTTGGGTACTAAACTGGAATTGATGCTGGTAAAGGGTGACGGGACAAGCTGGCCAGTCTTGCGGAGTGATGATAAATGGAGTGGAGAGAGGATCCAAATTGGACAGGCCGGACGGGTCTGAGGTTACTATATAGCATAAATGAGACACGGAAAACACATATATTGCACTAACACGGTTGAAACATGGTGTCTGCTAAGCTTCAGAGGCATACATTCACTCATATCGCCAAGACATAGCACTAGTCTGGGAAGGTTATATTGGCATATGACCTGCTATGCTGATGGCTCTTCAGCATGAGAGGGGAGCATCCCATTATTTGGGACTGGTAGGTGCTGGTAGGGTTGATCGAGCATGGAAATCGACACTGCTTCTTGTTTGGGAAAAGCATAGGCTATAAAAGTGAGAGTGAAAGCCATAAGTTTCACAATGCAACACTCATTTGACAAAGCATCTTGGCTTAACGTGTCCAATGTCCGGATAATGCATAGCAGATTTGCGCACATGCTCGAGACATAAAACATCTACAGGGCATGTTCTCATGACGTTCTATCATGGAGGCTATGGATGCTACCTTGTAGCATATTTGATAACGAACAAGTATATTGGGCATTAGTAGCCAATGACAGACGTAGTCAAGCAATCAGCAGGCCAACTACTCATCCATGACGATACTTCAATCGGGGCAAGCTTCCAACCATTGCGGAGTTGAAATAGCCAGGTACACGTGGTATGCTTGAAGATTGATACGCCAGGTACACATCCGATTCAAGAATCCAGCATGTAGACCCCGAGAACAAGAAGTTCCCTGCTCAGCAGCACGGCTACAAGACGGATATGTGAATATCCCACTATGATTTGACATCACAGTACAGATATTATTTATATAATTGGAATTTCGCGCCTCCTCCACAGCTCAAGCGCCTGGGGCTCTTATCTTGCGAAAAGAATCCCTAGCTAAGCCATAATTTGGAAGGGAAAAAGGAAAACGCATTACTCTCCGAAGCCGGGAACGGAAGGAAACCCATCGAGCAAAATCCCACACGGATAACCCTCAGCATGTCATACTTTGTATGAAGCTCCGGTATTGATTTACATATGGTCAATGTAAACCTCTACTGATGATGAAGAAAAAAAGAAAAGAAAAAAGAAGGAAAAAGTCGCGGCGCCAACGAAGGCCTTTTGTAGGCCGCCGGGAGTGGAGCCACTAGCACACCTTTGGGACTAGCTACTTACCGAGAGCAGTAGCTCTTAGGGCTTAGGGTCTATATGGTCATGTGAGATTATGTGGCACGTGTGTGTCCGATGCCTCAGGCGGATGCCAAGCGTCGGCGGTCACATGGTTGAGAATCACATGCAAAGTGGTTGAGTGAGTGGTGACCAAAGGGGTTAGAGTAATACGGTCGTTGTACTCCCCGTACCTTACACGATAACACGGCTTCCATACCTGTCAACCCTCCCTTACTTTAACTTCCTCCTTTTAACGGGCAAGGAATGCGAACCATATTCTCCGGGAGCGCTGATCATAGGCCAGTTTTGAGTGCTGACAATCGCTGGTGTTACCCCACAGAAAAATCACATAGGGCGATCGAGTTGAATAATCATAGGTGCATACGTAGTCTTCGTCCCTGGAATATTTCGTCATGGGGGGCGAGTGAAGGAGGGCAATTTCGTTTACAGCCTGGTAAGGAAACGAGGGGGCAACGGTGCTTGTTGCCTGAGGGGCCTCAGGCTGCTTAGCTTCCAATCATGGCCATGCAAGCACGAGACCAATATTCTTCGTCTCCTCCTCCTCCTCCTCTCACTTCGGCTTAATACTTCTCCCCCTTTTTTCCTTCTGGCTTGTGTTCCCTGAGTATTGATTGCCGGTCAATTTAGTACTCGTTGAAATTACGTATATCGTTATCGTTTGCGATCCTTATCGCTCAACTAATAATAGGGGAAGTCCTCATAGAACGGACCAAAAAAAAAGTGGCACAGGCGCCCTCCAGGTTAGTTTATACTCCATTGCTTTGTACTTTTCCCTCCTTTCACCTCATTGTCACTGTCGCTGCGCACAACTTCAAATACCTTTCTTGCGAGATTTGCTGACATTCTGAAAACTAGTACTGTTGTAGTTGACCGCTTCTCCATACGGCTTCTCGCCCCTCACCCCTTAATAAACGTCCATGATGGGTTCGACATCTGAGCCAAACGGTTGTCCTCTCACAGCGCTGCGCTACATTGCACAGTCATACAATCATGCCGACTCGGAAGCGTCTGCGCTGAGGTTGGTGTTGACCTTAAACCCTCACTGGGATGGTCCGGACAACAACATCGAGTTCGTGCGCTTCACGGACGGTATCACTAATACTGTGTGTTCCGAGCCTGCTATACAGGAGCAGCTAGAGACCAACCTATCAAATCCATGGACTAACTGGCTCCCAGCTTCTCAAAATTATAAATCGCAAGCCTGGCTTGACCGAAGAACAAATAGACAACGAAGCTGTACTGATGAGAGCGTACGGTAATCACACAGAGATTCTTATAGACCGCGAAAGTAAGACAGACTCGGGACATACGCCCTTTCTCCTTCTTGCCCATTGCGACAATGCTGAGTAGATGTCTATAGGAGAAATGAAGTCCCACGCCCTACTTGCCCGCTACGGCCTAGCCCCGTCACTTTTGGCTCGCTTCCAGAACGGCCTGCTCTACAGGTTCATTCGTGGACGGCCCGCCACTCATGAAGATCTGGTGACGCCGTCCATTTGGCGTGGCGTTGCTAGACGGCTTGGACAATGGCATGCGGTCCTTCCCGTTCGTGGAGCTGCTGCCCCTGTCCAGTCTGAAGTGGAAAATGCTTTTCTGAACTCAGTAGATGTCCATCCGTCCAAGCAGGACATTGACTTCCCTCTGATCAAGCCAAGACAATCGGGGCCCAACATGTGGGCGGTTCTCCAGAAATGGATCCTTGCCCTACCTTCTGCGACGGACGAGCAGCGCAAGCGCAGACTCGGCCTTCAGAAAGAGCTTGAATGGGCTGTCAATGAACTGGACGACGGTAAGGGCATCGGCGAAGACGGGGTACGTAGATATCACATTTCATTCTTGTGCCATAAGGATTCCGGCCAGCAATTAACCCCCTCGGTAGTTGGTGTTTGCCCACTGCGACCTTCTCTGCGCCAATGTCATAGCTGTACCATCCGCAGATACTCCTGTCACATCTGCGGGTGAGCCCACAGCGACTGTGCAGTTTATCGACTATGAATATGCCACTCCATCCCCAGCTGCGTTCGACATCGCCAACCATTTCGCTGAATGGGGTGGCTATGACTGTGACTACAACATGATGCCCACATGTGCCGTTCGGCGCCAGTTCTTGACGGAGTATGTCAGGAGCTACACCCAGCACAAAGGCCTCCCTAAGTTGTCTCAGAAGGAGATCATCGATCGACTCTATGAGGATGTTGATCGCTTCCGCGGCATCCCCGGATTATACTGGTTCGTTCTTCCTTTCAATTCCAGTATCCATGGCCCAGTGCTAATATTATACAGGGGTATCTGGGCCCTCATCCAAGCCCAAATCTCGCAAATCGACTTCGATTATGCATCATATGCCGAAACCCGCCTCGGCGAATACTATGCCTGGCGTCGAGAGCTCGACGGCAGCCGCGCCCAAGCCGGCGAAGAAATGCCCCTCCGTGAGCGTCGATGGGCTCAAGAAGTTTAAGCCAACCTCTCTATCTACCAACCTAACAGAACCTCACATCTTACATCATCAGCGCATATAGATTTTACCTTCTTGACCACAAGCATGCTTGCATGAAATTGGGGGACTTTTTTTGCTATCATTTGGTCGGGGTTTCAACATTATTCCCTAGAGCATGTGGCAGGCAGCAGCGACAAAAGGACACAAAACCAGGACAGGGATGCATTTCAGGGAATAAAGCAATGTATACAAAAGGACGGCATGGAAAGGGCTTTGTCTTCAACGACTGTACTGGTGTTCTTGGGACTTTTCATGGGCGTGTTCGTGGGCTGTTTTTTTTTTTCTTTTTTTCTCACTTTTCCTTTACTTCTTCTTCTTCCCTTTCTTGAGGTATGGGTTTAATCGTGTTCGTGTTCGTGTTCGTGTCTATAGCATTGACAAGAAATTAAGTATTGTAATTTTCTGGGTTCCAAGGGATCTGTTTTTCTATCTTAGCTGATTGCACGTCTATATAAACAAGATGTGCTTGGTTCGAGATCTGTAGTTATTGTTATCTGTAGATCTTAGCAATGGTAGTTACTCAAATGAGAAGCAAGATAAAGTACTAGTAGAGAGTGCTGGCTGGTATGTACCTGTTAAGGTCTGGCTTTCTACCGGATATTTATATAGACATATCTCGGGAAGCAGAGGAACTAGCAACAGCACATGAAAGATAGATCAGGGAGTACAAGTATCTCTTGATTACTTGGGCTAGTAGTGCTGTTGATTTGATTTTAGCAGTAGTATGGAGTGAGTAAGAAAAAAAAAAAGTAAATGTCTCGAACATACCGGAGAAAGACACATGATACAAGTGGCGGCCTACACAGCAATCACATGGTCACTAGCTGAATTCTGGCCTGGGGTTCAAGAGAGGGGCTAACATTGAATATTCTATCTGACTGGATTATATATAATCCTTGAGTACTGTCGTCCAAGCACTAAATTTCCCTGGGGCGTAGCTACCATGGGGTGTACAATCGCTTTATATATATAGAGCGGGGGGATCTATGAGGGAAAGGTCTAAATGTAATCTATTGCAGCCCTCTTGAACACACGACATCGTTGAGTCCATATGCAAACCGACCCGAGGTCTCCCTTTCTCAGATACGCTGTGTTTGATATCTAAGCACTGTGTCAATTGGAAAAACAGCTCCAGACAGGGCTATATGTGTACCCGGGATATAAGAAGTCCCGGTGTCTTTCTTGAAGATTGACATGTAGGGCTGAATAACGAGTGACAGTATCAAGAAGCTTTCTATTCAAATTGTTCAAGTGCTGGATGAACACCTATGAAAATATATAAAAAAGGTTGGTTTTAGGCAGGACGACGATATATTCTTAGTTTCGCGTAAGAGTATGGCCAACTATTCCTTCAAAGATGTCATTCAGTATTTCGCATGCAAAAGAGCAATTAAAGCTGTTAGATATATCGTAGAACGATGAAGGAAACCTTTAGGGAAGAGATTTGCTGAATCGCTTGAAAATACGTCTGAGAGAGCGGTATAACGCCCTCATTCATGTGACCATATGCGAGTATTGAGGATACTATACATGATATCGTGGCTCTTGGGCAGTGGCTCACTATCCTCAACATTTGAGAACTTCAAATCATGCCGACTTTCTGTCCTTGTACTCGTCAGCCTCCAAGCTGATATACTCGAGATTTCTCTGATTCTTCCTGATGGCCGCCCCCAACAGCATCTCGTAAAGCTCTGGACGAGTTCGCGCTTGTGCTGCTTCTAGAATATTACTGTAAAGACCTGAGGCAAGTTTCTGGTTCACATCGGCACCTGCATCCAACAATAGTTGTACTATCTCCTTATCAGCGCCTTTCTTTGCTACCGCTGCTGCAAGGGCACTGCCATAGAGCCCCGTGGTGAGTTTTTGATTGACATTGGCGCCTGCATCGAGTAGAAGTTTCACGCTGTATTTTGTTTGACTATACGCTGCTGCCGCAAGTGCGCTACCGTATAGACCAGAAGTAAGCACTTGGTTGACGTCTGCTCCTGCATCAAGTAGGAGCGAGATATTTGCGGGGCTACCGAATGCTGCTGCTGCTAGTGCACTGCCGTATTTTCCCCAAATGAGCCTTTGATTGGCGTCTGCCCCTGAGGCAAGTAATAGCTTTATTGTCTCATGACTTATGGGTGTTGAAGCTGCAGCAGCAAGGGCACTGCCGTAATTCCCACTCGTAAGGGCTTGGTTGACGTTAGCTCCTGCACGGAGCAGTAAATGAATACTTGTATTGTCGTACCATCCGGCTCCACGAGTAGCAGCAGCAGCAAGAGCACTGCCGAATATTCCACAATCGAGCTCTTGATTGATATCTGCTCCCGAGTCTAGCAGCAGCTGGGCGGCCTTTCTGCCTTCTGGGTTTGCGACTGATGCCACCAGCGCACTACCATAAATTCCCCCGGCATGTCTTTGGTTTATCTGAGCTCCTGCGCTTAGTAGTAGCTTGATGATTTCTCGATTGCCAGTTGATGCGGCAGCACCGAGAGCGGTCCCACTACAGAGCAACCCATCAAGCTGTCTATTGACGTCTTCTCCAAGTGACAATAGCTTTTGAACAGCATGTTCATTTTCGCTGAATATCGTTAGTACTAGAAGCGAGTTGGCAGCTTTGTTGGTTTGCTTAGGGTCTATGCGTTCGGCTTCCCACCATGTAAGCGGGACACGGTGAAGGCCGAATCGGCAAACTGCTAACACAGGATTAGAGAAAGGCTTTAGATCTTCAATGGGGAAACCTGGCAAGTGTTCGCAACGTTCACACCAAGACCTATAGGCGGGCCCACTTTCCCCGACACGACCGAGGAACCTCTCAACAAGCTGCGACAGCCGAGGATCAATCTTTTCACCTGTATTCCTGATATAGTGCTCGTATTTTCTTATGTGCACAAACCAATGCTGCGTTGCATAAGGGAGAAAGTTGTCAACCATAGCCGAATACTTGGAACATCCTTGTGACAATTGACTGCTTGCGACTATCAAATGTGTCAGGCATATCTTTGCAGCATTGGCATGACATATGCCAATGCCCCAAAGATTTTCAAAGTAATCATTCACAGAGAGATGAGAGGGTCGACAAAACTGCTGGGAATCCATGACAAGGAGACTAGAGCATGACTCAAGGATGAATTGGATGTCCACATATGGGGTTATCAAAGTGTCAGTCTGGGGATCCTGGCATGCAAGGAAAACGAGGGCATCTGTCGTTAGAGGTTTCTCTGAACATAAAACCCACTGTAGGGCTCTCGCCGCGATCTTAAACTTGCTTCCCGTGGACCCTAGAATTCGCTGGTAGATCTCGTTGTATGCGTATTGTAGGTCAGCTGGTAAGCATCCCAGACGCTCACGAATATCGCTTTCTAGATCTAGGGATAAAAGTTCCGTGACTTGTAAGGCTGCCCATTGAAACCTCGACTCATGTTATTTCGTACTCAGCACTGCGTGATGGGTAGAACACTTACATGCCCTGACTCTTATCTAGAAGGATACGGACAATGTCGTGTTTCAGTTCAGAAGAAATAGGGTTAGCCCGTTTCTTCTCATCTTCATCTATCTTTTGTGAGACAAATTTCGCAATGTCATCCTGATTATCTGTTGCATCAATGCCAACATTGGCATTAGTTTCGAGCCGGCTTGCTATGACTTCGTCCCGTCTGCTGGAGATGAATATTTTCAAATTTTGTATCTGGTCGACAAGTCGGCAGAGATAGTTGATAAGGCCTTGCCTCGAGCCTTCTTCACTTTCGTCCAAGGCATCTAACACTAATATTGTCTTCGGATATGTGGAAATTAACTGAGTTAGGAGCGCTTCGCTCTCTTCAAGGCTCAAGTCCTTCGACAGGAAGCCTCTTTGTCGCCTATCGTCGTAGATTTGGAGAAGACTATCATGGATTACGGTTTGATCATCCGCGATCGAAAGCTGCTTGACAAAGTTGCAAAGAATCTCTTTTGGCTTCCGACGAAGTTCTTCATTGCGATTGCAGTAAAAATATACCAACTTCTGCCCCTGAGCATGCAGAAACTCATCAACAACTCGGGAGACAAGCTTCGTTTTCCCTGCGCCGGCTACGGAAAGATGGGTATGAGCTCGACGAGTTTGATAATATCACCCTGGAAGACTCACGTATACCATGTAACCAAAATATCATTGAGTCCTTAGAAAGCTGCCAATCTTGGAACTCCCGTTGCTTATAGAGCCACCCACCAGTACCTCCTGTACGGCCAGCCCTCGCCAGTGTGTGATGATCCTCATATGGAATGTTTGATATCCACCTAAGGACGTCATCTCGCTTTTCATTTTCAAGAAACAGCCATATGCTTTGGACCCTGTTATTAGCATCTCTAAGCTCATTTTCAAGGGCCTTTACTCGCTCAATGTCTTCGAGCATGCGCTTTAAGCTTTTATATTGGTCGGTGGAACTAACTCGACCGAGGAGACTATAACATCGCTCACAGTTTTGAGCTGCGTAGTCGATGCGTGGAACGATCGCTTCAAAGCGTGCGTTATAATCGTTAATGCAATCGAGGGTGCAAAACGCCGTCGAAATAGTTGTATACCTGTTTCCCTCATACGCCCGGATTGCAATCAGTAGAAACTGCAGGATTAGGGCATAGAGTTCAATGACCGTGGCTTCTAGGTTAAGATATGCATGCTCCATCTCTGGATCGTGGGGATATAGAAGTTCGTAGACCTTACACAGATCAATGAAGTAGAAAACTTTGTCAAGCCCTACTAGTAGGGAACCCATAGTTTCGCGATCGGCTGTCGCTGCCTATGAAGATATTGGAAATCAAAAGCCATTTTAACCTCCGTTACAGTGGGCGGTCCTACCTGTAGCAACATCCTGATCCATGCCCATGGCAATTGCGCATGTATTGGGTCTGTATTGACAGCAATATCGCCAATAGCCTTCAACCTTTCTAGCCATGCGATGACCTTGTCTGCAATATGGCTCAAGCGGAAAGTGTTGCCT